TCTCTCTCTCTCTCTCTCTCTCTCGGTCTTCTTCTTCGTCGTGGTCTTCTTGCAGGTGCGCGGCGGCTTCTCCAACCTCAGGTCCGCTATGGCGGACTACCACCTTCGGCGGCCACCTCTGCTATGGCGCATCAGGCCCTGCACACGACGGCACGCATGGAATAGCGGGTACCAGCTCYGATACCAATGCAATCAGACTCCTTCCATTCACACTTTTCATGCATGTAAACAGCAGCGCAGCAAACTGGCGACATGTGCCCACTCAATACTCAGAGATATGGCATCCAGATAAGAGTTCACTTTAACTGGCTATGGCGACTCAGCGCCCAAACAACTCACTGTTCACACACACCGGATCACCCTGAATATCCCACACACGTCACTCTGAACTCTCACACATACACACACACACTTCACACTACTACAGCTATGGCAGCTATGGCTGCCTCTACCCTATCGCTATACTAAGCTCCTCCTCTCTCGCCCACTGCGTCCTCCAGGCTCACTGCAGATGTGGCATACTGCGTAGCCACACGGGCCCTGCAGGGCCCGTCCCGCACTTTCAGCCTAAAAGCCTAGAAAATAGGGCTTACAGGGCCCGGTCGTTTCAGCCTGAAACTGAAAAACGAGGGCCTGCAGGCCCTATTCCGTTTTCAGCCTATTTCTTTCAGGCCCAGAGGCTTTTCAGCCTGAAACGGAGGGCCATTTTCAGGCCCTCATTGTGTTCGACCTACCCTAAGACTCAGGCACAAAACCAGGGTTTTGGGAACAGCCTATTTCTGGCCTGTTCCCCACGACAGCTCGAGCAGGAGCTGCAGCGGCAGCCCCTGCCTCCCTTCGGCATTGGCAAGAGCAGCCTCCTGGACTGCCTTGCCTGCAGTCAGGAGGCACCCGAGTAGTACATAGGTAGTTCCCATGCACTTCACGGGTAGGTAGTTGGACAGTAGGCACGAGTGGTCTTCAGGATTCAGCGCAGCACTCAGGAGGAGCGCTGCAGAGAGTAGCTTAGCGCTAGCAGTAGTCTTCAGCGCTGGGCGCTAGTAGCCATAGCAGTAGTCTTCAGCGCTGGGCCCCAGTAGGTGGTAGATACTAGAGTTGGGAGAGATGGCTGGCGGAGGCCAGCGGGACTTACCTGTGGCGCCATAGCTCCAGCTCCATCTTCGAGGCACCTGCATCAAGGCGCCAACTTCACAGGTTAGTACTGGACTGAGAGAGAGAGAGAGAGAGAGAGAGAGAGAGAGAGAGA